AGAAAGGTAGCATTATTTTGAAGCACAAAAAAAAAAATTTGCATATTAAAAGAAAATATCAGATTTTCAACATACAATCAACCGTTAATTCGCATGAGATGATTCTCAATGAGTATGTAATATAAAAACTAGAGCCCTTTTGCTTTAGCTTATGGACTAGATATAGAGCTTGTAGCTCATGAAACTAGTTTTAAAATTTTCAGTTTAGTATTTATAATTCAACGCTTCAAATTTAACGAGTAAAATTAATACAAGATTAAATCATTACAAGTACATTATCGTCTTTTTATACACAGCTACATCACTAAGCTGTAGCAAAATGGTCCCTAGCCCTTGAATGTAAAAAACAATGTTTCCTCCTCCATGTAAAAAGAAGTGACAGCAGCTATAAACTGGTTTAAATTTTCTCTACACACCCTCGTTCTCAATATCTACAGCGATAGGATCCTGCTCGGAGTCTGGACAAGGAGGATAGAATTTTCACTAGGGTGAACGGAGGCTCCAAAGATCTACAGTTCGGAACAACAGTTGAAAGGTTGAAAGCGTTTCTTGAGTTCAATCAATCTCGAGTGAAATTCACATTGTAGCAGGTCGGATTGCATGGAAACGGGCAGTCTATTAGCTTCGCTGCACTTCGATTGAAGTACCAGTCCCCCACTCACTCTGCAATTGTCTATTCGGAATAGCAAAGGTCAAAACAGTCAGATGCCGAGTTTAGTTAATAAAGTGACAGAAAACCAAGAAACAAATGAAAGAAAAACAGATTTTGATTTGATAACACTAAGCAGCTTAAGCTTATGGTATTTGAGCTTTCATCTGTCTCACAGAGAAATATACGGCTGGGATGATAGAACTTCCGTCACCATATTTGAGTTAACAAGAAATCTCCACATGATAACCGCATTCGAATACAAATGATAAAACTTTCCTCACCTTGTTGTTTATCCTTAAAGATTTCGGCGAATTCCACATCTCAGTCATCAATGTCTGGCAATGAATAAAGCAAGAACTTATAAACATTCCTCCTTCATTATGTTTCTCGAAATCATTCAGCGCCTTCAGCTGAGATCCCCGGAACCTGTACAAAATGATTCGACTTAATTTTGCCACTGTATTTTGTTTACAACTCTTCTTCATTATACAACCAATTAGTGTCCGATGAATGAATCATATTTTCTGTAAAGGGGGCCTCGAGCTAGTGATGCTGCAGGTAATGCCCGCTGATTGCATTTACAATTGGTAGAAAGACAGTAAGAATCCTAGTTTCAATGTAATATAACAAGAAGACCCTGAACAAAAATCGACCTTTTGACTAACGACAGTGGTATATACATACCTAGAAGTATTTCAACCTGGGTAGAATTGCAATTATAAATGTTCAGTCTGCACTTTTCCCAGTAGCTATGTGGATCAGATGCTTTAGGTATCAAGGTATTTTGTATCTAATGATCATCACATACGAAAAAGGAGAAAAGGGATGTAAGTCAAATTCAGATGATAAGCAAATGAAGCTTTGACTTCTGAGGAAGCTTACTTGCCAAAAATCATAAGCTGATTGAACGAGGAACACGGGGGTTTTGATGTTTTTAACAATTTCTTCAGGAAAGATACACTACATAAAAGTTCACAACAAACGATTGGGGCTGTGTTAAAAACCATAACCTAGAGGAAAAATAAGATCATCCCAAATTTAATCATTGGTACCATATAAAAAAGAAGAAAATAAAATCTACCCTATCTGGTTCCATTCTTGCAACACGATCCTTGTTCAAACTTTTCGCTAACCCCTGATACAGCATGAATAAGAAAATCAGTATGACATGCCATAGTCTAAAATAAGAATTAACAGATGTACCATAGTAAAGATTGAAAATTATATTGACACGTGATGTTACACCTCATATTCATTCCATCCGTCAAACCCAACAACCCTAAACTATCCCCTAGGTAGTAACTAAAGTTATACCCAAAAACTAGGATAAGTATCACCAAGAAAGGGATTGTATAAGCTAGTATCGTCAATGTTAGAGCATAACCTGAAGGTTGACAACATCACGAAAGAGAGATCTCACGGTAGGATTGTGGAGAACATCTTTCCTGAAATGTACGAAACAGAATGTAGCTATATGATCACTAGTAAGAGCACAGATGATGCTTTAAAAAAAAGGGCTTTATACACGTAGAACAAGTAGTTAGTAAGACCTTGCAAGAATTTCAACATTTCTAGTGTAGCTTGAGAGGGAGAATTGCAAATTTGATAGAAAAGAGAATGGTTCCAAGGTGTTCAATTGTGATAGGTCTTATTTCCTAATGTATGAACTAGGAATAGTAGAATAAGGAAACAGCAAAGATAAGAGCGAAATTATGGCCCTCGAAGAGTTCACATGTGAAAATATATGATCCTAGAAAAAATTCATGCTAAGCAGATTAGCTAAAAGATATTGGTGCAGAAGGAACTGGTATGCATAAAACATACTCATCAAGAAAAAAACCCGCATCCCCTAGACATTTGACAGTGGCATCCTTAGGCAAAAGATGTCGAAATTCATCACAATGTATAAGAGCCGCCAACCCACCAGAAGAGCATCCCGAAAGAAGGGCCTGTAAGATTGTTATTCACACACATTATTGCTTCCCAAAAGAAGGGCCCGAAAGAAGGGCCTGTAAGATTGATACCTGTTCCGCTTTTGACAAGCCAAATGACAAGAGTTCATCCATAATTGCTTCCCAGATGAGCTGGCCCCTAAAGAAAAGTTCCGTTCCATTCTATACCATTGAAGAGCAATAAAACCTCCATTAATAAAATTACTACTGATTCTCAAACAAGGCAGAAAATGCGCCATCACGGCTATAAATGCTCCATTAATAAAACCTTCAACTCATTATCAGGGTGACCGGCTATAAATGCGCCATCACGGCTATAAATGCGCCATCACAATACTGTATTCTGACTCGGTTCCAGTTAAAGAATCCTAGAGAATGCTCCAAAATTGGAATTGAATCACATCAGTTAGCTGTTTAACTTGACATTGAGTTAAAACTACAAATAATTAAGCATTATGGTGATCGTACATATACGAAGCAACTGAGCAGAATATAATTACCCGGATTATGGTCAGGGTAAGGGCTTAAAATCCCAGAAAAGTGAACTCGACGTCCCATATGTTTGGAAGATCCTAAATGCATATGTTTACGCAAAATACACGATTCTATTGTGTTGCACCAACCTCCACCCTACATTTCAACATTTCAACCTAAATCCATTACACAGAGTTTTTCCATCTTAATAAACAAACCAACTAGAACATGTAAATGCAATGAAATAGAACAAAACAATTGCAAGAAATATGCACAAACAGAATTGGTTACAAAATTTTAAAGAAATTATTAATAGGGAAACATAACGCATGTAACACTAAGGTTTAGGGCATTTTATTGTCTGTTTAGTATCCGTCCAATTCCAATTTCGATTAAAAGTTCATAACCAGTTATCTCTGCGCCTTTCCAACAACATAAGAATTTTGAAATGTTAAGACCTCAATGAAAAGTAGCCAATTTTTGGCGCCGGATCCAAATCGCTTTTGAAAATGGTAGCCAGGCAAACTTCCATCTAAACAAACTGCAAAACCATAAATTAAACAAGAGGGTAATCAAATCAAGGAGAAATTAATTAGGAGCTGAAACACATGGTAATTAAAATTTGATTAGCAAAGGGTTACGGTGCAGTACGGGCGCCTCTATCTTTGGCGCTGTGCAACAATGTCAGGTCGATCAAATCGGAGGTAGTGATGCGATGAAATGAGTTGCGGTGTTGGACTCCGGCTCGGAACTCCGATAGTAGGAGGCGACAGAGAGAGCGAAGACGAAGACGAAGACGGCGAATCCGACGGCAGCGATTGCCCAGCCACGCTTGGCCCACTGCATCCACCACAGCGGGCCGCGAAGCCCAGAAATATTCGCCATAGAATTGGACCCGACTTTCTCCATCACCATGGCTCGTCAGTGTTTGAGGTTCGAGGTTGCAGAGAGACGTAACTTCCATGGCTTGCATTTCAAGCTACCTCCGATTTCCGTGGCTTTCAACTTGTGGCCATGGCTGCGATCTTAGCCCGGAAATTTCTCCAGGCTCTCCGTGTCAGACAGCTCGTGATTTTTTTCCTCTGCCTTAACTCCCCTTTTCTTATCCTCCGTTTGGATTCCGAGAAAATCCGGAAAAATTGAATACCATGTTTGAATTTGGTTGCTAATGGTGAATATACCGAATCAGCTAGCCCACGCTGCATATCAACAAATTACAGGACCACAGCGCTTTCTTTTTCTTTATGTGTAGAAATTTAGATTAGAATGCTCGTTTTAATGGACTATAATTAGGGATTTTGGTCGATATTGTGGATAACTTTTCGTGTTGATGTGTTGTTGGTTGGCACTTAGGAGCTTGTTTTGTAATTGCTTTATGTTTCTCGTCTGATCAGATGTTTCTGACTTTGGCATATGTATTGTCTGTAGATATATTGTTGGATTCCTGTTTGAATCTGTTCAATGCAAGTAGGAAAGGAAACGGACTCCTTCTCGTTCGGTTCCATGATTGGTATTACTTGGAGTGATTGAATTTGGATCCTATTTAGCAAAAAAACAAAAACAAAAACAAAACAAAAAAAAACATAGTGATGAAATATTATAGGACCAATCTTTGGTTAGGAAGTTCCTCTAGACCTGCACTCAGAAGAATTGCAACTTAGTTTTGTATTGGTCGAGAGTCTATAGTATTAGTCAATTTCTCAATGGAACTGCTGAGGGGAGTCTTTGGATTGCTGCTTAAACCTTCATTACGACTGTAACAGCCATTGAAACTCACATAAAGAGCTTTCTCTATTACAATTGTGGTACAATTGAACCTGACAGGTATTCTTGTGTTTTGCTAATGTTGAGGAAAGTAGATGACGTTTAAATTCTTTAAATTTGAAAAATAGCTGAATATATAATTATTTTGAATTAAAATTTTAGTTACTAGTTATTTCCACCATAGTAATATCCTCTCTGTTGAAATGCGTCGGGAAGTCGGAGACAATACTTTTTAATCTGGCAGCCCTGATTGCAAAGACTTCAACTTTTTCGTGGGACTTGACAGTTTGGCCTGAGATGGGTAAGCCGGAAAGTCGGGTAGATGTCGCCGCCCAACCTATAAGTTCTTTTCCATAAACATCACCTTTCTCAAGATATGCAGTGCTTGACGAGCCACTTTCGCCACCAGTAGTAGTAGTCTTGTAAACAAGTGCAATGCCCTGCGTGATGAAGAGCATCCTATCCAGTGGGTCCCCCTCTCGAATAATACGGCTACCATCATCATAGTCAACTGGCTCAAGATGCTCCATGATTGCATTCAACACTTTTCTGTCTTTGGTTTCAAGCCCTGGCAACTGGGGTTAATTCAGACATGTAATTAGAAACTTAAGAATAGATCGATAAGAACTCAAAGGGGAGTTCATGCTCCTATCTATATAATAGCTTGAATTCGTTAACTAGACTACTCGAAAAAACCGAGTATTTATCAAATATAGCAAAAAATTAACTCCTCATTTCAAAAATGTCACCTTTTAAAAAAACTTTTACATATATCCAAAATTTCACTTAAATAGATACAAATACTCTCAAATTTAACAATTAAATAAATTAAAAGCTTTTTAGTTACTGTCGCCTCAAGCTCCGGTCTAACTTTACCTTCGCTTCGACACTCCACCACCACAACCCTATCCCCTTCGACCCCCTCATCACCGACATTGAGCGCTGCTGCGGTTACCGCAAGTCGGAGCAGCATAATTTCAATCATGCATTCAACGATTTTTTCTTACTACTATCATTTTTAGTTTTAAATATAAAAATATTCTTTAAAGTTAATCCACATATCGTTATATGATTGTATTTCTGAGACCCACGTGACGCCACATCTAACAGAGCAATTAACAGATTTTTCATGAAAAAAACTAAAATGATCACGATGGACAAATTCAAAGAAAGACAAAAATGATTCACAATAAACAATTTCAAAAACACTATTATTGATTGTCATTAATTGTTAAGGACCAGATTAAGGAGATATTTCAATATCACGAATCATTTTGGCTAAAAAACCTTTAATTTATTTGATTATTAAATTTAAGGGTATTTGTGTCTATTTAGGTGTAATTTTGGATATATTTTAAAGATTTTATAAAAAATGACATTTTTTAAATTAATAGTTAATTTTTGGCTATATTTAATAAATACTCCGAAAAACCATCTACCGCCACAAGTTTATATAGAGTTATGTACATGGAGATATTGAGAGAGATAGGACATTACTTTCCGTAGTGTAGCCAAGAAGAGATACCACTTCATATGTTTCTTAAGTTCCAAAGGAAGTAACGAGAAGATATTCGCCGCAGGATTATCTTCGTCCACTTCAAGTGCTTCTCTTACTAATTCCCAAATCTCATCTTGTATTTCGCTACGGAGTCTATATTCAGATACCATGAACTCTATTTGTGGAAATATGACTGATTTCCGCTGCGATATCTTGGATGTTTTGCTAATTGCCTGCATAAATATCTACTCCACAACACGGAGGTTTGACATTGAGTGTATTAAATCCTGAAATTTACATGCATATATGTAGAAACTACTCAAAAGAAAACCAGATACACAATATATAATTCATCACCGACCTGCACATGTCCAAGCAGATACATGAATAGTAGCAGGCCACTGATCGAAATAAAAATTACAAATACGCTTTCCCATGCATTGGTACTAGAGTTGAGGTTTGAAGCAAAAGAACTGCAGAATTCATTGGAGCAATATATTAAAACAATATTTGAAAAGGGGCAACTCATTGGACGGCTTGCGAGACTGAATCTTGATCGTCAAACACGGGCACATTCCATGTACCGGTATGGTAAAAAAATTCATGTGCATGACGCAATATCTAAGAATAAAAATACTTAGGTCGGACAAACCTCAGATTTCGTAATCCCCATGAGAAACACATCAAGAGTTTGTGAGGAAAATCTGTTGTTCCCACTATGCCAGACTGGAGAGTGTCAATGAATATGCCAAAATCGTATGCCATTGGATTTGGTGGATTTGTTGGACATAAATCATTTAGAAGTGTGACGTTTCTGAAAGGAGTATTATCACATTGTAAAGTACTTAAGCTGCATCCATTTTCACTTCGACAAGCAGAGATCCAACAATCTATCTCTCGCTGAGCAGAAAAAAAGTACCAAAATGCTCCAAGTACCTAACAAACCAAGAACGACATTTGTAACTCAACGATATTTACAAGCAACTTAGGGAGTAGTTAAAATAAACTAAGATAAGACAATAACTTACATGGCTAGCAAGGATGTACATGATGAAATTTAATACACCTGGAATCCATATTTGCTTTCTCCTAGCAAGTTCCTTGCTACGTTCACGTGTTTCCTTGTTAAAGTCCATACATACTCTGTACATTGGATAAGCTCGTGGAACATATTGCAATAGAATAAGTGAGTTCAAAAACTTCATTCTATTCAAAGATCTTGAGTTCCTCGTTGTTGGAAGGAAAATTAGAATTACGATATGTACACAAATGCAAACAAATAACTAAACTTAAAAGTGTTGTGTGACAGAATCAGCAAAATCAAATTATCCTAATTCCTAATATATGACTTAAGAGATTACGAAAAATAATTTACCTCAGAAAAGTAACTGACTTACTTGTGGAATAGGAAGAACAGCTAAAATGTTTTGTACTAGGGATTTGCGTAGTACGAAAAACTCATCAGCAGTTAGGAGATCTTCCATAAAGCTCAATTTGCACCACGTAGGCAACACAAAATAGATGATTTGAAGTAGATAAACAAGATCTGTAAATGCTCTCAAAACAATAGCTATTTTTTTTAATTTTTCGTCCAACGCGAGACACTTGATATTTTCATTGATGATGGGAACGTACAAGAACAAAGGGTCCACAAGCATCGGGCCAAAATAAATCATGATGACGAACAAACATCCTATCCCAAACAATATAGATTGTATAGCACGTTGTATTGAATTTCTATCGCATTGTATTGACCACGTTGATCTATTTCCTCCATCTCTCTTGCCATACTGCCCTTTTGCAAGCTCTAAAAAATTTTCACCTGACAAGCTGAAAAATTAATACACAAGAATTAAACATGAAATTCATTTATTCGATTTGTTTATTCCTATTTCGAACAACCATAATGATCTGATGCAAAAATCCTTTGTTTTAATTTTAAAAGAAAACTAAAATATGTTAGATATTAAAAGAAATATGAAACCTTGCAAGGTCGATTGAACTGTCATCGGAGCTCTCCATTTGTGGAACTGGCTCATCGGATTTCCTCATAACTTAAGTTTACCAAGTTACGATGCGTAGAAGATCCTCTGAGCTATCAAGGACTCGAATGAGGAGCTTCTTGAAGTTACAACAAAGTACATATGCTTGAAGTTACAACAAAGTACATATGCTAACTACAACCACTTCATGATGGAGAATAAGTAGGCTAGGAGTTGAATGGACAAGTTAAGGGGTCGGATCCTAGAAGAGTGAACTAGAAGTGTGATAACGCATATTTGCGTTTTAATTATTTGACTCAACTACATGACATCGTCATTGTTTTTTGTAGAAGGATAAATGATGAAACTATGAACTAAGGATTTTTTTTTTTCTTATTTATTTTCCCCTCATGGTTTAATTTTTCCAAAAATATATTTTTTACTGATTTTAGTAGTCGCGTGCACATTGTTTTCTCTTTATTTCTATTCTTTTCTTTTCCACTTATTCACTTTACCAAGGAAAGAACAGAAGTTATTGTCAACAATATTTAATTATTTGATTGTTTTTCGTCAAGAAATAAATGAAAGAAAAAGAAAAGGGAGAGGTGGGATGTTCTAGAAGGAACGGGAAAAACTGGTGGGAGAAAGAAACTTGATCATTATACTTAAAAAAAAAAAATGGAAAAAGGAAAAAGGAAAAATAAAAAGAAAAAGAAAAGAGAAAGGTATAGTACTCTACAAGGAACGGTAAAAGCTGGAGGGAGACAGAAAAAAGAAAAGAAAGGAAGGATAGCCAAGGAGGAAAAAAAAAAAATAGTAGTGCTACACTTAATAGAGGTAAGGTCCATTAACACACGTGGATCATATTTTTATTAGATAGATAGTACAAATAATGGTACAAATAAATGATACAAATTTATGTTAGCATTTGTACTGTATTGTCTACTCTCTTCTAGTGTGGATCTTTTCCAAAATATCTTTCTCATGTGAGAAAATGATGACCATCGGCACTCTGCGAACCTGAAATAGTGTAAGAGATATCGTAACAATGAAACCCCTTATAATCATACATAATTGATGAAAGTGAGGGTTTTTATTAGCTACGATGTCTTGACAAAAGGTGAGGAAGATGTTGATGCATTGTAACACAATTTTGTACATGGGAAAGACATTTTGGACAAGACATATTGCACCGTTTTGTGTGTCGGAAGTCAGATCAAATGAAAGAAGTGGATTCCCAGATTCTTCAGAACTCTTTCATAAAGTAACTACTACAATGTTTTCCAATGGATGCTTGAAATCCCTCTTTGCTCCGTAATAGTCATTTTGACCTAATTTGCCTATGAAATAAACTGTTTGTGTTACTTTTTTACCTCCACTATCAAATTCTACTCAAATCTGTTAAATTTGATGATGTAGCACATGTGAGGTTCACTTTGAGAGACAAAAATTTGTACCACTATGCTTGCCTATTGATGTTCTAAGCACCAATTTGCTCCTTAAAATTCATTTTAAGACCATTTATCTCTTAACATTCTTGTGTCTCACTTTACCCTTCACCTTCAAATTGTATAATAGATTTATTAAATTTGATGATGTGGTGCGTTGAGGTTCACTTTTTTGCTAAAATGTGGCCATGAGGAGGTCTTCTATTCGGCACCCAGAATTAGAGACATGTTAGAGGGGTTGGAACCAAAGAGTTGGCCAAGGTTAGCATGACAAATCAGGAGATGGAGTAGGATGTGTCTTATGTATATGGATCCGTACGGACACGTGGTCTGTTGCCGGACCCAGAATTTCTCACACAAGACGTTAGCAAATTTAACATATTTTTTACAGACTTAACAGTGGGAGGCAAAGCAAGGCGTTAAAAATAAAATTCAGAAGCAATACAGGATAAAATGACCTCAAGATGTAAAGGGATCCAAACCACAAATTGCATATGAAGTTCTTCAAAGTCTCAAGACATCCGATAAAATTTGAACGATTCATCTGTTTCCTTTGTAGTTGGCAACCAACTAAATGAAGAGATACTCTGTAAAGCCAGGCATCTTCCTCACGGGCAATTGAAGGTTAAAACCTTTGGTTCCCCACCTGGAGAGAAACAGAAATATAAACTTTGGGGAAAAATAATCAAAGGATATAATCATCAAATTGCAATGAAAAAAATAGTTACTACTAACGCAAGCATGAGAATCCAGAAAGCAAGGTACAAACATAGTAACATCATAAAGCTGTTTAAAAAGTATCACTACAACATTGAAGGAAAACATTTCATCTGGTTGATATGGAAATTAGAGGATGTGTTTCTTCTCTATGTAAACATGTGAAAATGTAATATCAATGCATAAACCGTTTTTTCTTTTCGTTTTCCCTTTTTCTGCTACACACCTTTATTGTCAATTTCTACAGATGGACCCACCAGAAAGTTGGAAGCGTTCTTGAGTTCAATCAACCTCGTGAGAAAGCAGTGAAATTCATATGATAGCAGGTGGGATTGAATGGGAATGGACAGTCAATTTGCTTTACTGCATTTCGACCAAAGTACCAGTCGCCCACAGACTCTGCAATTGTCTTCCAAAGTTCGAACCAGTCAGATAACAAGTTCAGTATGAAAAATGACAGAAAACCATTTGTTTTCAAACAAAAAAGATTAGCAGATTTTGATGCCGTAATGCCAAACTCGTGGTATTCAGGCACTCAGTTGCACATACATATATTTCAAAAACCTCGAGGAAAGTGAGCAAACAAGCAACAAGGGGAGGAAGATCATTAAACTTTCATCTTGTCTCCAGTCTCCGTATTCTCGTTGCTAAATCTTTTTTCTGGAAAGCAAAGTACACAAGATATCCACGGCATACATGTTTACATCAAAAGAACAATTACTACACTGAAAGCGCAAAGAACATTATACTAAAATGTGTTTCTCTCCTCCTCTATGTAAAAAACTTGTAACATGATGGCAAGTATAAACTGCTATTCTATTTTCTTCACACCTTGTCTCTATTTTCTTTTCGGGTTTGATAGACACCTCCTACTCAATGTCCACAGGGAGAGGAGCATAAACAATAAGGGAAGATTTCCGCCAGGAATAAAGATCTAAAGTTGGGAATAGTCCACTAGAAAGTTTGAAGTTTTCTTGAGTTCAATAAAAAAAGGTCATAGAGCAGTGAGCTTTATATGATAGCAGGTGGGACGATTTGGATCCTCTCCAGAGTCCAAGAGAGAATCCTTCTGATCAGGAGAATCCTCTCCTTGAGCTTTATATGATAAAAATCGAACGGCCCACACTACTTGATCAGGAGAATCCTGTCCTTGGGCTTAGCCTCTTAGGAGAGGATCCAAATCTGGGATGGCATGGAAATGGGCAGTCAGTTTGCTTTACCCCATTCCAACTAAAGTACCAATCACCCAGACTCTGCAGTTGTCTATGAAACTTCAAATCGGTCAGAAAAGTAGTTTTAAAATGACAGAAAACCATTTGTTTTCCAATAAAGGAATGAGATGATTAAAATTTCCACACCTTATTGTTTATTCGTAGAGAAGTGGGTGAATGCCATGTCTCGGTTATCCATGTCTAGCAATGAATATAACATGAATTTATAAGCATTCCTCATTCCGTATGTTTTTGGAATTCAATCAGTACTTTCAGCATAGAATCACAGAAACCTATACGAAATAAGTTGATACGTTAATCTGCCACAATATCTGTTTACAATTACACTTCATAATAGAACGAATAGCAATGACCTATCTGTGGACCCTATTTTTCGATTGACAAGAAGCCTGAAGCTACAAAATACATGCAAGATGAACCAATACTTATAGTCCCCTAGTTTGACAATGTACTTCTGTGAAGTTGACACTAGTAATGCCCACTCTTGCAACTTGCAACGGTAAAAAATCCTGGTTTATGGCCCACAAACTCTAGGATTCTTAGGGTAACATTTTTCATAGGATATTTTAACTGCAACGCGATGAGAAGAAACAAACTTCCTGCTCATCACAGCATGCAGTGTGCAAATATGCTGGTTTATAATCCACAAAAATCTATGGATGGTTACGATCAACCACTTGAATTAAGAATTATCAGATCATTGGGACAGTAGCGCATGAAGAGTGGGCCACAAACATGCTTAGCTACATAGAGTCGGGCCAGCATTAGGTGTATGTGGTTTTCCTGGACAGTCAGGCAATATATAATTTGGCCTTCTCAAATTTAATCACCATGTATTATTTCAAGCTGGTTGGGATTGCAATTGTGAATGTTCAGTTTACACTTTTTCCAATAGCCACGTGGATCTGCTGCTTCTGGTATCAAGATATGTTGTACCTAATGTCATAAAATTAGGAAATGAGAGAAGAATGCAAATCAATTTCTGATAACAAGTAAATGAATCTTGGGTTTTGAAGTAAATTATCTGCCAAAAATCATAAGCTGGGTTTTGAAGGAAATGTAGGAAACAGAAAATGGCTCAAAACTTTCCCTCTTATTTCTTTATGAATTCACTATCCCAAGCACAGAGGATGCACTGGGGAAGAAAAAAGGGAAAAACATTATACACGTAAAACAATTTAAAAAAAAAATCCTATTCTAACTTGATAGGAAGAATTTCGAACATTTTAGAAAAATGCGGTATGTAGGTGTTCCGTTTTGATAGGTCTCATATCCTGACGTATGGATAAAGGTGCATGATCAAACACTTCCATGGAATATGGAACACCATCATTTTATGAAATTTATGATTTAGAGATATTATATGATCCTGGAAGCGTACACAAGGAAATATGATCCTTGTTTAATCCTAGAAAGATTTCATCTTGAACAGGTTCACTAAAAGATGTAGGTGCCGAAGGCACTATGTTGGTCCAAAAATTAAGGCTCAAGTAATGAGCCACAACCTAAATTTGAGGAAGTAGAGCTAGAATAAAGGAGCATGATCAAACACTTTCATGTAATATGAAACATGAAGAAATAAAGAAAAAGTGGAAAAAATCATTCCTAATACGATTTATTTATAACATTTTTTATCATTTTAATTAAAACTAAAACCCTTGAGAATTTTAGTTAGTTTCGTAAAAATAATAGCAAAAAACTTAATGAAGGCTTAAATATCCCCAGCGACCGATTCCCACCCCCAACGGTGACTCACTTTCGATCTACAACGACGACGAGGATCTCAGCTTCCTCGAGGACGCCACCGACCAAAGCGCCGCCGCGTCGAACCAACCAGATCCGGACCACTACGACGACGATTTGGGAACTTCTTCGATGTCGACGAAAACGGGTACAGGAGAAGATGGCAGCCCAAGACTCCTGACTGGGTTGATGTTAGTTCAAATGATGGGTTGTTGGCCTAGTGCACCAACGATGAATCCAATAGGCAACGGAGCCAAAATCGATCAAAACCCATAAAAATTCAGTACCCATCAACAAAAAAACCAATCAAACCCCAACAAAAACAATTAAATTCACAAATTTTATCTCAGCTAAAGGATCCTCACCAGAAGAGAGGATCCTGTTGGCTTGCACAGGCCCCATATCGACAGAAAGGGAGAAAATGCAGGATTGGCACTGGCCTGCTCACGTCCCCAAATCGAATCCACTGGCGTCGACGAAGACCCATCGACTCAGCCACCACCGGCCATGGCTGCGATCTTAGCTCGGAAATTTCTCCAGGCTCTCCGCGTCAGACAGCTCGTGAGTTTATCCTCTGCCCTAACTCGCCTTTTCTTATCCTCCGTTTGGATTCCGATAAAATCCGGAAAATTTGAATTCCAAGTTTGAATTTGGTTGTTACCGGTGAATATTTCGAATCAGCTAGCCCACGCTGCATAGCAACAAATTACAGGACCACAGCGCTTTCTTTTTCTTTAGGTGTAGAAATTTAGATTAGAAAGCTGGTTTTAATGGACTATAATTAGGGAATTTGATCGATATTGTGGATAAATTTTCGTGTTGATGTGTTGTTAGTTGGCACTTATGAGCTTGTTTAGTAATTGCTTTATGTTTCTCATCTGATCAGATGTTTCTGACTTTGGCATTTGCATTGTATGTAGCTATATTTTTGGATTCCTGTTTGAATCTGTTCAATGCAAGTAGGAAAGGAAACGGACTCTTTCTCGTTCGATTCCATGATTGGTATTACTTGGAGTGATTGAATTTGGATCCTATTTAGCAAAAAAAAACATAGCGATGAATTATTATAGGACCAATCTTTGGTTAGGAAGTTCCTCTAGACCTGCCCTCAGAAGAATTGCAACTTAGTTTTGTATTGGTCGAGAGTCGACAGTATTAGTCAATTTCTCAATGGAACTGTTGAGGGGAGTCTTTGGATTGCTGCTTAAACCTTCATTACGACTGTAACAGCCATTGAAACTCACCTAAAGAGCTTTCTCTATTACAATTGTGGTACAATTGAACCTGACAGGTATTCTTGTGTTTTGCTAATGTTGAGGAAAGTAGATGACGTTTAAATTCTTTAAATTTGAAAAATAGCTGAATATATAAAAATTTTGAATTAAAAATCTAGTTACTAGTTATTTACACCATAGTAATATCCTCTGTGTTGAAATGCGTCGAGAACTTAGAGACAATAATTTTTAATCTGTCAGCCCTGATTGCAAAGACTTCAACTTCTCCGTAGGACTTGACAGTTTGGCCTGAGATGGGTAAGCCGGATAATAGGGACTTCACGGTTTGGTCTGAGATGGGTAAGCCGGAAAATTGGGTAGATGTTGCCGCCCAAGCCATAAGTTCTTCTCCATAAACCTCACCTTTCGCAATAGGTGTAGTGCTTGACGAGCCACTTTCGCCACCAGTAGTTCCAGTCTTGTAACCAAGTGCAATGCCCTGCGTGATGAAGAGCATCCTATCTAGTGGCTCCCCCTCTCGAATAATATAGGTACCATCAGCATAGCTAACTGGCTCAAGATCCTCCATGATTGCATCCAACACTAGTCTGTCCTTGTTTTCAAGCCCTGGCAACTGGGGTTAATTCATACATGTAATTAGAAACTTAAGACTACATCGATAAGATCCAATAAGCAACATCATTTTACTAGGACGGATGATAATCAACTGTTTAAAAGTAGACTCACGAAAGCACGCCTAAAGAACTCAAAGAGGAGTTCATGCTCCTATCTATACAATAGCTTGAATTCGATAACTAGATTATTCGAAAAACCATCTACTGCCACAAGTTTATAGAGCACTAAATAGAGCTATGCATATGGAGAAATTGACAGAGATGGGACATTAGGAATTTACTTTCGTTAGTGTAGCCAAGAAGAGATGGCACTGCAAACGTATCTGAAGTCTCCAAGGAAGTAACGAGAAGATATTCTCTGCAGCAAGGCCTTCGTCCTCTTCAAGTGCTTCTATTACCAATTTCCAAATTGCAAACTCTACCTCCTCTTTAAGACCATATTCAGATACCATGAACTGTATTCGTGGAAATATGACTCCCCACCCCTGCCATATCTGAGATGTTCTGCTAATTGCCTGCATAAATGTCTACACCACAACATGGAGGTTTGAAATTGAGTTTATTAAATCCTGAAATTTACATGCATTTATGTAGAAACTACTCAAAAGAAAACCAGATATAAAAAATATAATTCATCACCGACTTGCACATGTCCAAGCAGATACATGAATAGTAGCAGGCCACTGATCGAAATAGAAATTACAAAGACGCTTTCCCATGCATTGGTACTAGAGTTGAGGTTTGAACCAAAAGAACTGCAGAATTCATTGGAGCAATATATTAAAACAATATTTGAAAAGGGACAACTCATTGGACAGCTTGCGTGACTGAATCGTGATAGTTAAACGTCGGCACATCCCATGCACTGGTGTATTCGTGTGAATGATGCAATATCTAAGAATAAAAATACTTATGTAGGACAAACCTCAAATTTCGTAAGCCCCACGACAAACACATCAAGAGTTTTTGAGGAAAATCTGTTGTTCCCACTATGCCAGACTGAAGACTGTCAACGAATATGCCAAAATCGTATGCCATTGGATTTGGTGGATTTGTTGGACATAAATCATTTAGAAGTGTGACGTTTTTGAACGGAGTATTATCACATTGTAAAGTACTTAAGTTGCATCCATTTTCACTTCGACAAGTAGAGATCCAACAATCTATCTTTCGCTGAACAGAAAAAAAGTACCAAAATGCCCCGAGTACCTAACAAACCAAGAACAACATTTGTAGCTCAACGATATTTACAAGCAACTTAGGGAGCAGTTAAAATAAACTAAGATAAGACAATAACTTACATGACTAGCAAGGATGTACATGATGAAATTTAATACCCCCGAAATCCATATTTGCTTTCTCCAAGCAAGTTCCGTGATACGTTCACGTGTTTCCTTGATACGTTCACGTATTTCCTTGTTAGAGTGCTTACATATTTCGTACATTGGATAAGCTCGTGGAACATATTGCAATAGAATAAGTGAGTTCAAAAACTTCATTATATTCAAAGATCTTGAGTTCCTCGTTTTTGGAAGGAAAATTAGAATTACAACCTGTACACAAATGCAAACCAATAGCTAAACTTAAAAGAGTTGTGTGACAGAATCAGCAAAATCAAATTATCCTAATTCCTCGTATATGACTTAATAGATTACGAAAAATAATTTACCCCATAAAAGTAATTGGCTTACTTGTGGAATTGGAAGAACAGCTAAAATGTTATACATTCGGGATTCGGGTATGACGTCAGCTAGGAGATATTCCAGAATGTACGATGTGCACCAGGTAGGCAGCACATGATGGAGGAGGTTAAGTAGAAAAGGGAGATCCGTAAATGGTCGCAAAACAATAGCTATAATCTTTAATTTATCGTCTAACGCGAGACACTTGATATTTTCATTGATGATGGGAACGTACAAGAACAAAGTGTCCACAAGGATAGGGCCCATCAAAATTGCAATCTCAATAAATTTGCTAAATTCAATCAATAGTTTGAACCAGTTTAATCTATCTCTTCCATCTCTGTTGCCATACTTCGCAAGCTTTATAATTTCATCACCTGACATGCTGAACAATTAATACACAAGAATTAAACATGCAAAATAAAATCCTATTTGGAACAACCATATTGATCTGATGCAAAAATCCTTTGTTTTAATTTTAAAAGGAAAAAAAAATGGAAAAACCTGTTAGAGATATTAAAAAAAATATGATACCCTGTAAGGTTGATTGACTCGTCATCTGAGGTCTCTATTTTTTGAATGGGTTCATCAGAATCCATCATAACTTAAGCTTACTAAGTTATGATGCGTACAAGATTTTCTGAACTCTGAATGATCTTGAATGAGGAGCTTATTGAAATTACGACAGAGTACATATGTTAACTACAACCGCTACAAGATGGAGTATAAGTAGGCTAGGGGTTGAATGGACAAATTAAGAAGCTAGTTTGCTATGGTTTTGGAAATATGCAAATGAAGATATCATGCAGCAAATCCAACTGAAATTTAAGATCAAGCATATATGGCTTTTAGGCAAGTCGTTAGATTTATAATGGTCGATGGGGTCTTGGTCGTTTCCCAATTACGTACCTTTTCCCATGTGTAATTGTGCTCAACAACCAGAGAAATACATGGGGCCCCTTGCCAACTGTCCCGGACAGCGGATGAAATGCGAATGGGGTCTTGTCATTTAATTTCTTATTTATTTCGCATGGAATGGTTGCTTCAGCCGAACTATAAATTTTTGGATTCCAAGTGACGAGTTAAGGTCAAATTGGATTTATGGTATCCGCTTTCAAGTGATGAGCAATATATTAAAACAATATTTGAAAAGGGACAACTCATTGGACGGCTTGCGTGACTGAATCTTGATAGTTAAACGTCGGCACATCCCATGCACTAGTGTATTCATGTGAATGATGCAATATCTAAGAATAAAAATACTTATGTAGGACAAACCTCAAATTTCGTAAGCCCCACGACAAACACATCAAGAGTTTTTGAGGAAAATCTGTTGTTCCCACTATGCCAGACTGAAGACTGTCAACGAATATGCCAAAATCGTATGCCATTGGATTTGGTGGATTTGTTGGACATAAATCATTTAGAAGTGTGACGTTTCTGAACAGAGTATTATCACATTGTAAAGTACTTAAGTTGCATCCATTTTCACTTCGACAAGTAGAGATCCAACAATCTATCTCTCGCTGAACAGAAAAAAAGTACCAAAATGCCCCGAGTACCTAACAAACCAAGAACAACATTTGTAGCTCAACGATATTTACAAGCAACTTAGGGAGCAGTTAAAATAAACTAAGATAAGACAATAACTTACATGACTAGCAAAGATGTACATGATGAAATTTAATAAACCAGGAAACCATAATTTCTTTTCCTTAGCAAGTTTTGTGATGTACGCTTGTTAAAGTCTTTACATACTCTGTACATTGGATAAGCTCGTGGAACATATTGCAATAGAATGAGGAGCTTCTTGATGTTACAACAAAGTACATATGTTAACTACAACCACTTCATGATGGAGAATAAGTAGGCTAGGAGTTGAATGGACAAGTTAAGGGGTCGGATCCTAGAAGAGTGAACTAGAAGTGTGATAACCCATATTTGCATTTTAATTATTTGACTCAACTACATGACATCGTCATTGTTTTTTGTAGAAAGATAAATGATGAAACTATGAACTAAGGATTTTTTTTTTCTTATTTATTTTCCCCTAGTGGTTTAATTTTTCCAAAAATATTTTTTTACTGATTTTAGTAGTCGCTTGCATATTGTTTTCTCTTTATTTCTATTTTTTTTTTCCACTTATTCACTTTCCCAAGGAAAGAACAGAAGTTCTTGTCAACAATATTTAATTATTTGATTTTTTTCGTCAAGAAATAAATGAAAGAAAAAGAAAAGGGAGAGGTGGGATGCTCTACAAGGAACGGGAAAAACTGGTGGGAGAAAGAAACTTGATCGTTATACTTAAAAAAAAGGAAAAAGGAAAAAGAAAAAGAAAAAGAAAAGAGAAAGGTAGAGTACTCTACAAGGAACGGGAAAAACTGGTGGGAGAAAGAAACTTGATCGTTATACTTAAAAAAAAGGAAAAAGGAAAATGAAAAAGAAAAAGAAAAAGAAAAAGAAAAGAGAAAGGTAAAGTACTCTACAAGGAACGGTAAAAACTGGAGGGAGAAAGAAAAAAGAAAAGAAAGGAAGGATAGCCAAGGAGGAAAAAAAAATAGTAGTGTTACACTTAATAGAGGTAAGGTCCATTAACACACGTGGATCATATTTTTATTAGATAGATAGTACAAATAATGGTACAAATAGATGATACAAATTTATGTTAGCATTTGTACTGTATTGTCTACTCTCTTCTAGTGTGGATCTTTTCCAAAATATCTTTCCCATGCGAGAAAATGATGCCCATCGGCACTCTGCAAAACAGAAATGATGTAAGAGGTATCGTAACAATAAAACCCCTCATAATCGTACGTGATTGACAATATTGAGGTATTCATTAACAATATTGAGGTATTCATTAGCTACAATGTCTCTTGACAACATTTGAGGTGAGGAAGATGTTAGATGCATTGTAACACAATTTTGTCACGTGGGGAAGACATTTTGGACGATACCAAACTAGCTAGTTTGCCTGAGGTTATGAAGCATGGATATCATATTGCACCGTTTTGTGTTTCGGAAGTTCGATCAAATGAAAGGAGCCCATATTCTTCAAAACTCTTTCATAAAAGTAACTACTACAAACAATGTTTTCCAATAGATGTTTGAAAATCACTCTTTGCTCCTTAGTAGTCATTTTGACCTAATTTGCCTATGAAATTAACTGTTTGTGTTACATTTTTCCCTCCACCATCAAATCCAACTAAAATCTGTTAAATTTGATGATGTAGCACATGTGATGTTCACTTTACAAGAGACAAAAATTTGTACCAAAGAGTGGGCCAAGGTTAGTATGACAAATCAGGAGATGTTGTAGGAGGTGTCTTATGTGTATGGGTTCGCACAGAAGAATGGTCCGTTGCCGAACCTAGAATTCTCACACAAGACGTCAGCAAATTTAACATATTTTTTGATAGACTTAACAGTGGGAGGCAAAGCAAGACGTTAAAAATAAATTCAGGAGCAATTCAAGATAAAATGACTCTTTAAGTGGTAAAGGGATCCAAACTACAGAATGCATATGAAGTTCTTCAAAGTCTCAAAACTCCCCAAATATTTCCTACGTAGTTTCTTCGGGGACATACGATAAAATTCGAACGATTCATCTAATTCCTATGTAGTTGGCAACCAATTAAATGAAGTGATACTCCGTAAAGCCAGGCATCTTCCTCACAGGCAATGAAGGTTAAAACCTTTGGTTCCCCACCCCGAGAGAAACAGAAATATAAACTTTGGGTTTGGGGGAAATTAATCATAAAATTGCATCGGAAAAAAACAGTTACTATGAACGCAAGGATGAGAATCCGGAAAGCAAGGTACAAAGCTGTTTAAGAAGTATCACTACCACATTGAAAGGCAAACATTTCATCTGATGGATAGAAATTGCAGGATGCCTTTCTTCTCTATGTAAACAAGTGAAAATGTGATATCAATGTATAAACCATTTTTTCTCTTCGTTTTCCCCTTTTCTGCTACACACCTTCATTGTCAATTTCTACAGATGGACACACCAGAAAGTTGGAAGCGTTCTTGAGTTCAATCAACCTCGTGAGAAAGCAGTGAAATTCATATGATAGCAGGTGGGATTGCATGGGAATGGACAGTCAATTTGCTTTACTGCATTTCGACCGAAGTACCAGTCACCCACAGACTCTGCAATTGTCTATCAAAGTTCAAACCAGTCAGATAACAAGTTCAGTATGAAAAATGACAGAAAACCATTTTTTTTCAAACAAAAAAGACAGATTTTGATGCTGTAATGCCAAACTCGTGGTATTTAGGTACTCAGTTGCATGAACAGAAACATTATTAAGAATACAACATATATACATATACATATACATATACATATACATGTATATTTCGAAAACCTCAAGGAAAGTGAGCAAACAAGCAAAGGGGAGGAAGATCCTTATACTTTCATCCTGTCTCCAGTCTCCATATTTTCATTGCTAAATCTTTTTCTGGAAAGCAAAGTACAAAAGATTTCCACGGGATACATGACATCACAAAGAACAATTACTGCATTGAAAGCACATAGAACATCATATTAAAAAGTGTTTCTCTCCTCTATATAAAAAACTTGTAACATGATTGCAAGTATAAACTGTTATTCCATTTTCTTCACACCTTGTCTCTATTTTCTTTTCGTGTTTGATAGATACCTTCCTTCTCAATGTCTACAGGGATAGGAGCATAAACAATAGGGGAAGATTTCCGCCAGGAAGTAAAGATTTAAAGTTGGGAATAATCCACTAGAAAGTTGGAAGTTTTCATGAGTTCAATAAAAAAAATGTCATAGAGCAGTGAGATTTATGTGATAGCAGGTGGGATGGCATGGAAATGGGCAGTCAGTTTGCTTTACCGCATTCTGACTAAAGTACCAAGCACCTACAGACTCCGCAATTGTCTATGAAAGTTCAAATCAGTCAGAAAGGTAGTTTAAAAATGACAGAAAACCATTTGTTTTCCAATAAGGGAATGAGATGATTAAAATTTCCACACCTTATTGTTTATTCGTGGAGAAGTGGGTGAATGCCATGTCTCGGTTATCCACGTCTGGCAATGAATATAACATGAATTTATAAACATTCCTCCTTCCGTATTTTTTTGGAATTCAGTCAGTGCTTTCAGCATAGAATCACGGAAACCTGTATGAAATAAGTTCATACGTTAATCTGCCACAATATTCTGTTTATATTTACACTTCTTTATAGAACGAATTGCAAGGACCTATCTGTGGACTCTATTTTTCGATTGACAAGAAGCCTGCAGCTAGCGAAGCTACAAAATACATGTAAGATGAACCAATACTATAATCCCCTAGTTTGACAATGCACATCTGTGAAGTTAACATTAGTAATGCCCACTGTTGCAATTTGCAACTGTAAAAGATGCTGGTTCATGGTCCACAGACTCTAGGATTCTTAGGGTAACATTTTTCATAGGTTACTTTAAATGCAATGTGATGAGAAGACTCAAAACTTCCTGCTCATCACAGCATGCAGCGTGCAAATATGCTGGTTTATAGTCCACACTAGATGGTTACGATCAACCACCTGAATTAACAGTTATCAGATCATTGGAATGTAGCACATGAAGAGTGGGTCACAAGCATGCTTAGCTACATAGAGTCAGAACAGCATTATGTGTATGTGATTTTCCTGGACAGTCAGGCAATATATAATTTGGTTTTCTCAAATTTAATTACCATGTAGTGTTTTAAGCTGGCTGGGATTGCAATTGTGAATGTTCAGTTTACACTTTCTCCAATAGCCATGTGGATCTGCTGCTTCAGGTATCAAGATATGTTGTACCTAATGTCATAAAAATGATAAAAGAATGCAAATCAATTTCTGATAACAAGTAAATGAAGCTTGGGTTCTGAAGAAAATTACCTGCCAAAAATCATAAGCTGGG